CTTGGCTGGTGTTATGAATGAAAAGTGCATCATTTTGTACATCATTCCACGTATGTTACAATGGTAAGCCCCTGCCAAGATTGCTCCCATTGGGAGCACTGCTCGCTTGCAAGAGTTACAAACGGGACTGAGAATGTGTTGCAGAACAATTCGTGATTGCCGCTCATCTTCATTGTGCCCCTGGTGGCACAATGGGTTAAACCCTTGTGCCAGCAGGATTGCTGACTGATTGGTCAGTGGTTCGAACCTGGGGAGAGCAGGTTGAGCTCCCTCTGTCAGCTCTAGCTGCCCATGTGGGGACATGAGAGAAATCTCCCACAAGGATGGTAAAAAACACCAAACATCTCCTGGGCAACATCCTTGGAGATGGCCAATTCTCTCACACCAGAAGCGACTTGCAGTTTTTCAAGTCACTCCTGACACATACCCCCCTCCCAAAAAAAATTCATTTATTTTGCTTATGTGTTACTGCAGGGGTCCTCAAACTAAGGCCCAGGGGCCGGATACGGCCCTCCAAGGTCATTTACCTGGCCATTGCTCAGGGTCAACCTAAATCTGAAATGACTTGAAAGCACACAATAACAACAACAATCGTATCTCATCTACAAATAAGATATGTGAATTGTGCACAGGAATTAATTTTTTTCAAATTATAATCTGGCCCTCCAACAGTTTGAGGGTCTGTGACCTGACCCTCTGTTTAAAAAGTTCAAGGACCCCTGTGTTACTAGCTGTACCCGCCACGCATTGCTGTGGCCAACCTTCCCTCCCTCTTTGGGATGCTCTTAAATAAATCCAAGGAGAAGAAAGCTTGCAGCTTGGAAGCAGTGCATTTGGATCATCCTCCTCTTCTAAAGGGCCTGGTCTAGGGGTTGTGGGACCTGTAGTCTGGAAGAGAGTGTGGATATGCTATTGTGTGTTTTGTTTGCTGGAAGGGGGGGGGGCATTTTTGCACATGTGCTGTAGAGTCTTTTTGCTTTTTTGGCTTTTTAAGTCTCTTCTCCTGTGTTTTTCAGTGTTCTTTAGAGTGATGGTCACTTGTTGGCCTGATAGGTGTATTGTATCCAAATTTGGTGTCAATTCGTCCAGTGATTTTTGAGTTATGTTAATCCCACAAACTAACATTACATTTTTATTTATATAGGTTGATCCATTTCTCTGTCTCTCTAGAACTTGGTTTGGGAATGTCTTGGACGTCTCATCTGACATTTGATCATTGATACTCTTGAATGACTAGTCTTGACAGCTCTGCTAACTTCAGGAAATGACGCTCCCTCAAATGTTTACCCTCATCGTGCTCCTCCTGTGCTTCCTAGAAGCTAGTACTGGTAAGAAGAGCAAAGAGACCACTGAGAAGGCGCTGCCTTCCTTCCCCTGGGCACAGTCGGGACAGTTCTCCACCTCCAAGAAACATTTGTGCACTTGGCAGCTGGCCTCTGAGGACGGAGCCACTGAGATCCAGCTCAGTTGTCACCCGCCAGGTGAGGACAGCAGCCAGGGACAGCAGTGTGTCTATCGAGGCCAGCCAGAGTTATGTCCTGCCTACAACTCCAAAGGCCGCCAGTTCTGGAAACAAATCTTGGGCAAGCTGCGCAAGAAGCACCACCCATGCAAGGAAACAAGTCCACTCAAGTCTCGGCTTTGTAGTGGCAAGAAGGGAGGATCTGAGGCACAGCTACACCTGGTTGTTGCCTCCTTCAGCACCGAAGCCCCGGTGACTGTGGAGAGTACTACTAAAGTGAGACCCAAGGGGAAAGGTCGCCCTAAGGATCCACCATCCCAGCAGAAAGCACCCAGGGACCAGGCGCAAGGCAGCCCAGGGAAGGCCGATACCCCAGATAAGCGGAACAAAGGGGAAAAGAGAAAAGGAGGCCCCAACCCCTCTGCAGCCCCAACCCAAGTACCCAACCGGCAGCTGACGGCCATTGTGGGAGGATCTGAACAGCCCACCGAGCTCAATGCTGATGCAGTAGAGGCTTACTGTGAAGAGAAGTGGCACTCCCTATGTAACTTCTTTGTGAATTTCTGGAATGGCTGAAGTGGGAGCAACAAGAGGAAAAAGGGGGCACTGGGAGGGGGAGGGAGGGGAAAGTGGAAGTGTACAGCAGAGAGCCTAGTTAGAAATAGGGTTGGAAGGCAAGTGGTGTGCTTTGGACAGAGCCTGGAGAATTTACTTTTGGGGGCTGCAGTTTTCAGAGTTCCCCAGCCAGTATGCCCAACGTTCATGGTGGCTAGAGGATTCTGGAAGTAGTAGTAGTAGAAGAACTTTATTTTTCTACCCCGCCTCCATCTCCCCGAGGGGACTTGGGGTGGCTTACATGGGGCCAAGAACAAGGCAACATACAATTAAAACAAAACAATAACATTAAAATAGCATAAAACAGCATAAACAATAATTAACAAGCATCATAAGTAACATTTGGGGGGCGGCAGTATGCAAAACTAATTAAAGGATAGGCTGGTCAGTAAGGTGGATAGAACGTATAGTAGCATAGGAATAGAACAATTAAACAGGATCATTTCAGCTTAACTTAAAAATGTAGTAATCAAATATAGGAGTTTTGATTCAGGTCATGGTTAGAGACCATCTGTCAAAGGAGTCGTCAGTTGAATACACAACGAAACATCCACATCTTTAGTTCCTTATGGAATGTGGATAGGGAGGGTGCCAGCCTAATCTCCCTGAGGAGGGAGTTCCAGAGACGAGGGGCCACCACCAAGAATGCCTTTTCTCTCGTTCCCACCAACCGTGTCTGAGATGGGGGTGGGAGCGAGAGAATAGCATCCCCAGAAGATCTTAAGGACTGTGTGGACTCGTAGGGGAGGATGTGGTCACGAAGACAGGCAGGTCCTGAACTGCTTAGAATTTTATCGGTAATAACCTGCACCTTGAATTGGGACCGGAAACTTATCAGTAGCTAGTGGAGCTGTTTGAACAGGGGGGTTGACCACTCCCTGTAACTTGCTCCAGTTAAGTAGTACTCCCCCCAAAAGAACTTTTTCAAAGGTTTGGGATAATGAGGAGCAAAGAAGAGGCAAGTGAAAGGGAGAGCCAGTTGAATATGGACAGATGAAAGACAACAGAATATGAGGCAAAGATCTTGGATTGTAAGGGGATGGTGTTCAACAAAGGGTCTTGATGGGACATATTATTGTACTCATTCCTACTAATCATGCAGTGGCTGTCAATGAAGAGATGGAGGATAAGGAGTTGAGGGTTAGCATGAAAAGCATGCCCTTCCTTCCATGTTAGGCATACTCTGACAACACGTAGGTTGCTCTGCTTCGTCCAAAAATGTATTCCCTACCAACGACAAAGTAGGTTACCCCCAATTTAATCGAAAGAATATTGTGATTATTACAATTGAATCATGTGCCAAATTCTTCCTTTTCTACCTAGAAGACATCTAACATTTGTTCCTACATTTTGGAGAACTAGATATTGCTAGGTGTTAACCATTTTTTAATGATAATAATAAATGGAATTCTTTTACAGCAGCCTGCTATTGTGATTTTATTGTGTTACCGCCATTTCTATTCCTTTCTTAGAGAAAGGCATCAAGACTATGGATTACAACCACCAGTTGTGCAAGTAATTGCAGCTCCCTAAACCCACCAGCCGCAATTTTGGATTTCTGGGTCAAACAATGCAAAAAAGTAACTTTTCCAAGCATTGCTTTGAGGCTCGCTATGTTGACTATTTTTTTCATAAATGCATATCCAGCTCCATAATAGAATAGGTACACATGATATTCCCTGGGATTTGTCCCTTGACAGACCCATTAGCTTCATGCAAAGGAGTAATAACATCTGCTTGCCCTCAGTTCATTCCTCAAGAACCATAAGGAAACCATCAGAACCAGCCCTACCATTGCACAGAGCAAGGCCACCACTTCAGTTAGAACAGTGTTTCTCAACCTTTCTAATGCCGCGTCCCCTTAACACAGTTCCTCACACTGTGGTGACCCTCAACCATAAAATTATTTTCATTGCTACCTTCATAACTGTAATTTTGCTACTATTATGGATCGCAATGTAAATATTTGATATGCAGGATGTATTCTCATGCACTGGACCAAATTTGGCACAAAAACCCAATACGCCCAAATTTTAATAGTGGTGGGGTTGGGGGAGGGGATTGATTTTGTCATTTGGGAGTTGTAGTTGCTGGGATGTATAGTTAACTTATAATCAAAGAGCATTCTGAACTCCACCAACGATGCAATGGAACCAAACTTCGCACACAGAACTCCCATGACCAACAGAAATTACTGGAAGAGTTGGCGGGCATTGACCTTGAGTTTTGGAGTTGTAGTTCACCTACATCCAGAGAGCACTGTGGTCCCAAACAATGATAGATATGGACCAAACTAGGCCTAAGTACCCAATATGTCCAAATGTTAACACTGGTGGACTTTGGGGAAAATAGACCTTGACATTTGGGAGTTGTAGCTGCTGGGATTTATAATTCACCTACAATCAAAGAGTGTTCTGAACCCCACCATGATGTTGCCAAAGTACTTCATCTTTGCCTGTAATATCCTTTCCTCCAATGAGCAGTCGGGCTTTATTTCCTGAAGTATGGACTGGATGGATCTTCTCGTGATCCAAGGCACTCTCAGAATTTTCCTCCAAGACCACAGTTCAAAAGCATCTATCTTCCTTCGCTCAGTCTTCCTTATGGTCCAGCTCCATAATAGAATAGAATAATGTTCCCTGGGATTTCTTCCTTGTCCATTAACTTCATGCAAAGGAGTGATAACATCTGCCTGCCCTTAGCTCATTCTTCAAGAACTATAAGGAAACCATAAGAGCTGGCCCTAGCATTGTGTAGAGCAAGGCCAACACTTCAGTTAGAAAGTTCTTGATTAACTATGCAATGTTTTATGTTTACTGATTAGTTAATGTGTTGTTATTGTAGCCACACAAGTAGAAATAGGAGAACTGCTTGAGCTATTTCCAAACAAAATAACTTGGCAGTGGCTACTCAGGCACCTTGGCTTGGATGAAAGGTGAGTGCTTTTTGCTGCTCCACCTCTAGCAGCAACATATCCTAAGACGGCCCTGTGTGAGCCAAGGGAGACTTTTTGGGAGGGATTTCCTTCTCCTTGGGACAACAGTGAAGATCTTTCTTTCTTTGAGTTCCCGGTTGCCGCCTTCCATCCTAATGAACCTAGCCATTGATACTGACTTGACTTGGTTTATGTAGTAGCCCATTGTCAAATGTCTGAAAGGGCGAAAGAGTTGGTATTTATGGGCCAATAGAAGTGTCGCCGTAAGCTATTGCTTTCTCCGTCTCATGTTACTGGCATTGTAAGCCCTTGAGAAGCATTGAAGGAGACCTTCTTTTCCCAGTTTCTCCCACTCTCAAGCAAATTATGTTTATATTTAGTTATGAGATGCATGGGATTATTATTGGTGGCCCAGTAATTGTATTATATATGTGTTTTATGTTTTAAATTGAATACTGTTTTTAATTGTTGTAAACCGCAATGAGTCGCCGACTTAGGCTGAGATATTAGCGGTATACAAGCGTATAAATAAATAAAATAAATTAATTTTCTCCCATAACATTTCTAGTCAAATGGTTCTTGAAATGTGCAGATTGAACCACAGTGTTTGGACTTTAGGGTTCTGGATGGTACTTTATCGGTGGCCTGTTTTTTGGGCTCCTACATACAGATGGTTTTGCAAATGTTCTTATACGCGGGGCAGTCTTTGGCTTTACCCAGAAAGAATGGGATAGGAAGATGAAACTTTACATTTATTCCACATCCTCTCCCCTGATATCAACACACTTCTTACATTGGTATTCCAAGTTCTGTAAGCAAAAAGAAGGATTTCAGTTGTGCCTCAAACCAGTCTCCATAGCAGCCGTGGCACCAGAAATGGTGTGAAATTTGGTAACCTTGAGGTGTTTCTTCAGGTTTGGAAACAGATGATAGTTGGAGGGAGCTAGATCCGATGAATAAGGTGGGTGGTCAACGATCTGGAAGCCTAGCTCCACCGGTTTTGCCATGGTCACTTGTGCAGTGAAAGCAGAGGTGTTGTCTTGCAGGAACAAGATTCCTTTGGACAGCTTGCTGTGTCTTTTGGCCTTCAGAACTGCCTTCAATTGCTCCAAAAGTTCAGTGTAATGCCTTGTATTGATGGTGGAACCATTTTGAAGGTAGTCCACTAGCAGCATGCCCTCCTTATCCCAGAACACAGACGCCACCACTTTAGTGGCTGATTTTTGCACTCTGAACTTCTTTGGATGAGGAGAACCACTGTGCCTCGACTCTTTTGACTGCTCCTTGGTTTCAGAGTCATACAAATAAATTCAGGTCTATAGTGACCAGTTGATCCAGGAAGTTCTTATCAGTCCAGAAACGCTGACAAATGGACCTGGGAGTTTTCACTCGCATGGTTTTCTGATCTGTTGTCAAACATCTGGGGACCCACTTTGCAGAGAGCTTATTCATGCTCAAATGTTCGTGGATTATGACACAAACACATTCAGGAGAAATCCCCATGATGTCTGCTATTCCTTTAGCTGAAATTCACCAATTCTCCAGTATGAGATTGTGCACAGCATTGATGATCTCCAGAACAACAACCACTCTTGGTCATTCATGACGTTCCTCATCATTGGTGCTGAAGTGGCCCATTTTAAATTTGGCAACCCAATTCTTCACTAGAATATGAAGGGTATTGATCCCCCAATGTCTGCGACAAATCACCATGAATACCCTTCGCAGACTTTCCTTGCAGAAACAAGAATTTTATCTGCTCTCATTTGCTGTGAATATCGCCTTAGACTCCGCCATTTTGTTTTCCCGCGTGCCTAGATCACTGTTGCCATAAGCTACAAACACAAAATTTTGAAAACGGATATTAGAAAAATAAGGCTTTCGTGAGATGTAACATTCATTACCATAGAAACAAAACAAGAACACAAAGCCAAAGACTTATCAGCAGCCCCTCATACCATAATTTTCTGGTGTTGTTGTTATTTTGGTAACCAAAGGTAAATGCTCTCTGTTCACCCAAAGAATGCCAATTTCTCTCAAGTGGAACCCAACCATTAAATATTAAATATTGCCTTCTATCCACTTGCATATTGCAAGAGTTGGATCAGATCTACCTTCCAGAGTTTCCTTTCAGGGGTAACTTTTAGAGCAGGGGAAGATAAATGTTATTGGGTAGGAGACCATTTTAGTTCCTATGCAAAATAGTTTGGAAGGTACCATCTCTTTAACACACATCCTGTAAAAAAGATTCCTTGACACCAAATGCTCCCCAAAACCATCAAGGAGGCATCTGAAGGCATGGGAAACCCAATGGAAAAATGTTTCCACCAAGAAATCAGTTTAACTCTGGGGTGCCCTGAGATGACAAAAATAGCTCTTAAAGGGGCAGCTTGCAGGTCTAACTTCCTTCATTCTTTGCTTAAAGTCAGCCTATGCATGGCGTTAAATCATATTGCTGTACAATGGACGACGAGATTTGCAGTACCTTCATCCAATTAATCTCTAACTTCAGCAGACCACTGAGACCCACACAAATTTATTTATTTATTTATTTGACTTGTATACCGCCACTCCCAATTTGGCTTGGAGCGGTTTACAGCAGTAGATTAAAACAATACAACCAACTTTAAAATACAATAAAAACGAGAACAGACATAGCCCCGAGTTATTCACCCATCGAAAGCTTGTTGGAAAAGAAAGGTTTTACAGGCTTTCCGAAAAGCAAGTAGGTCTCGGATGGTTCAGGTTTCAACTGGCAAGGCATTCCATAAATAAGGGGCCACAATCGAGAAGGCTCTCTGCATGATAAGTCTGGATGTTGGGGACTTCAAGCAAATTTTGGTCTTCGGACTGAAGTAATCTCTGGGGTTGGTAGGGGGATAACCAGGCCCTCAGGTACGCCGGCCCCAGACCATATAAGGCCTTAAAGGTTAGTATCAGCACCTTGAAAGTAATCCGGTACTCAGTCGGAAGCCAGTGCAGCTGTTGTAGAATTGGGGTGATACGACACCTCGCCGGCAMCCCAGCAAGAAGACGAGCCGCCGCATTTTGCACCAGCTTCAGTTTCTGGATCACTGACAAAGGAAGGCCAATGTAGAGGGTGTTACAGTAGTCAAGCCTCGAGATGACCGTCGCCTGGATCACCGTAGCCAGGTCGTTCCTAGATAGGAAGGGAGCCAGTCACCTASCCTGACGTAGGTGGAAAAACGCAGATCTGCTCACAGCAGAGACCTGGGCCTACATTGTGAGCAGAGGGTCCAATAAAACACCAAGGCTTTTTACAGAAGGTGACGGATGTAGTGTCTCACCATCCAGGGTAGGCAGCTGGATTTTCCTCCCACCCGCATGGCCCAGCCAAAGGATCTCCGTCTTCGCTGGATTCACCCTCAACCTGCTGGACCTGGATGAAATTTGGTACACAGATTGCCCATGACCAACAGAACATACTGGAGAAGTTCGGGGCACATTCACCTTGATTTACAGGAG